TCTTTGACTCCGCTTTAGTAGACAATGGGCCCTTTGCACGCAGTGTTGTAGTAAAATTGTTGCGCAAATTCGATTCATCTTGTTTGCTTTTTGTTTTGTTCTATAATGTGTACCACGTCAGCACTCACGACAGCTATTAATTATGAACAAACACACAAACACATTAGCAAAAACGTCGTTAAAAATAAAAAATAACACCAGGAACAAGCACATAGTGTATCGTAAGGTTTGGTGATTCGTTCCGTAGCTCAGTTGGGAGAGCGTCTTGCACGGTATGCTTGAAGGACATTTAAGTCAATGTTGAAGGAGCTGTTTCGAATCCAGTCGGGTCGAAGAAATTTTTCTTAGTATTCAATCTTTGTATTAATATTATAATGAACTAGTGAAGTAATTTCATTATAAATAATTAAATATCGTGGTAGTAAAATATCGTGATATTCAGTAAACTTAAAAATTACAGTTATTAATTGTCACGAAATATTATGCCGATCGTGTTCTTAACCTTATTTATACCTTTAGCGCCCAGTTTGTGATTTTGTTTTATTGTGTGGTGTCATTTATGGTAGTCACATTGGGGCCCACATATTAATTATATTTGTGAAAAACTACGTGCTATAGCGGCATTGACTTATGTATAGCGGCAAAGCTTTCTATACTGCGAAAACCTATCATACGTCACTTTAACAACATTATATGTGGCATTAGCGGATAGCATAATAATTGGTTACGGTATAAGTAGTTATGGAAGAACATTTAAAACACATATTAGTACAAAATATTTACAATTTACAACTAAAATTGGATAGCATGTTTTTGAACCTGTCTAGAAGTAATTAAGTTAGTTTTTTGAGGTTTTTGCTCTATTACATTATATCTTTACTTAAATAGACTGAACTTCTTCGCCGCGGATAAAGCCGGAAGGGCTTTTGTGAGCGAAGCTTATAATTAGTAATTAAGTATTTTTCCCGTATTTAAGTGAAAATGAATGCAAGTACATTTATATATATATAGTACTTGCATTCATTTTTCTTTTTTCTTTCTTTCTTTATCCCGAGATGGTAAACCTGATTATGCCTACAAAACCTAGCTAGTCGTCGAAAGCTGTTTAATATTCCTCCTAGAAGATCAGTCTCAGTAAATTGCCCCACGCAAAACTAAAAGTATTTTCTTTCATATTCTTGTGACTTCGAGGGGAGGCCAAGGGGGTGGGTAGACATGAATAGCCTTTTAACTATTTCACCCCAGTTTTCCTACTGAGTTGTTGTGTTCTGAGACGGGAAATACGATTTTAATTTACTGTGACGTCACGCAAGCTAGCAAGAAAAACTCAAGAGACATAGTTCAATGACGTTGTTTTTTTTTCTGTAACGGGATGTCTAATGTACAATCCAATTAAGGTGAATACGACACACCCGGTTACAATTAACTATATTAAAACAAGTCGTGCTTCTGCAAATTACCCTCGATTGCCCTGAAAACTCATTAACATCGACGTTTCGTATCGTGACCAAATAATGTTTGCTATGTGTTGCATCTTATGCAATCCTAAAGTACGTATTGTTGTTCCTTTTTTATGATTAGAGCAGTGGTACCGCGAGAACTTCTAATGCCTGTGGCGGCATATACTTTAAATTTTAGTTAAGTTGGTACATTTATTACTAATATCTCAGCTGGCCGCGAAGAAAGAGTCCAGTGCTCGGCAAAGGGACGTATAATGACTTGACAATGATGCGTGAAAGATATGACAAAAAAGTTTCATTCATATTATTTTGAGAGTTCCAGAGGCGTAATTCTATTCAATTGCTTCCAATGCTATTCATTTCTCGTGTGCTACTTATTGCTGTATATTGATTTGAATCATTCTCGGAGCATTGCGTCGTAATTGGTTACTTCAGCAATACACTTGGGGTAGCGTATTTGCGTACACATGCGTGTGCACGTAAACCAAGCATTAACTAGTTATATATGTACGTGTTTGCTGGGTTTTGCAAATATACTTTGCATTTTCGTTTATAAATTTACAATTTTACGAGTATTGCGTTTACAGGGTTATTACTTTTAAATTCGACTTTTAAATAGGTATCGTTCTAACTCCTTTTAAATAATACGTAAATGTTATTTATTTATCATGCTTGCTAAAATAATAGCCAAATGTCGCTACAGTGACTACGGATCCCGAATTTTACGCTTTTTTAGTTAGTTATATTGAAACACGTAGCGTTAGCATCGTGATTCTCGTAGTTACAAATCAAATACGTGTCATTTTGTATTAAATTTTGTCACGAGTGCGTCTATAACACCTTTTCAGTAAATCTACCAGACACTTTTTGAGTGTAATAGAAATAGTATGCTTGCGTATGTAGTTCAGTGACCTAGCTGAGGGTCTTACGCGGGGAACGCATTGCTTTTTCCAACAAATATGTTTGTTTTAATTTAAATTATGATTTGTTTGCGATTTTGTTTTGTTATTATTTATTTGTGTCTTGAAAGTATGGATGTTCTGATGGTCTTATCTCTTTTTTTCTTTCTTTTTTCTTGTGTCGTACCGTTTGTGGCAGTGAAATAGATATAAATTTTCCTTCTTTTTACAATCTTTTTTAGTTTTCTTTCTTAGTTAGTATGAAGTGCAGATAAAACTAAAATTACGTACTTTTATTTACGATCTCTTGTTTAAAGTTAAAAAGTTTCACAAAAGTTAGTCTCACCCTGAGTTGACGTTTTATTTTTGGCAGAAACACATATTTGCCAAGGAAAGTCTTGCACGCAAGCAAGCTTGACTTCCTGATACTGTTTTTATGAAATTACCCATTTGGGTGTGGTTGTTTTGTGTTTGTTTTAGGTTTAGTCTACACATCTACACATATCTACATATGTATAGATATATGTACCTACAGGTTTTTTACAGGTTGCTACATTTTTTCATCAGATTTTAGCGGTGGAAGTTGGAGGGCTCCTATGCGTTGTTACAATTACTATACCAATAATGTATTGGTCAGCGAATTGGTTAAACATGCAATTCGCTAGTTTGGAGAATTTATCGGGACTAGAATTTGTTTCGTAAATACTGAAAACAACTCGCTACGCAAATTTCACCAAATTAAACATTCATTAAATTCACCGTGATTTGTGTACAAATTTGTGGTCGTTTTGAAACCCAGAGATGTGCCTTTTTTTTTCTTTTTTTTATAAAATACAAGTTCGCATTTGACCTCCATCTCACCTGATGGAAAGTGACGATGAGGTCGACGATGGAGCATGCACACCTAAACAATGCCTATTCACTCTCGCCTTGAAAAGGTCCAAGTTATAACGTTCAGGGAACAAGTCTGCAGGTAGGGAATTCCACTCCATAGCCTTTCGCCATATAACTGTGGAAGCATAACGCTTCGTGCGAATCTTTGGAATATCCACAATATAGGAGTGAAACCCAAGCCTACGCCTAGTGCCCCGGTGATGGAAAGGGGAAGGCGGAATTAAATCGTGTAATTCAATCGCACACTCTCCGTGATATATCCTATAAAATACCGATAAGCAGGCAACTTTACGGCGGTGTTCAAGGCTCTGCAGCTTCGCTTCCACTAATTCCGAGTCATCCATAAGCCTCTTGACACGGTTGTCAATTGAATCCAAAGTGGCCAGTTGGTATGTAGCAGAGCCATCCCAAAGGTGGCAGCAGTACTCCAAGCACGACCGGGCTTGCGCTTGGTACAGCTGAAGCAACTGTCCTGGTGTATAGTAACGCCTCAGGCATCCTTTCAGGAAAAGGATGCCAAGCTTCTTTGCTGCATTTTTGGTCATGGATTCAAGGTATTCCACAGAATTCGAAGTACCTCTTTTTGACGTATGCGATCTGGCGCCATGATGCAGCCAGCCTGAGGTAAGGTAGGTGGTAGGTTCTCTGCGGCATCCAGACGCGAACTCTCTGCAAAGAGTGAGGCAAAAAGATTCGCCTTGTTTTCCGCAGTATGAGCCAGTGAGCCATCCGGCCTCAGCAGAGGTGGCAAAGATGGGCGACAAAAGTTAGATTCGACCGCTTTGGCCAGGGACCAAAAGGATTTGCTGCCTGCTGGATAAGAGGCAAGCTTGGCCCCTATGCGGCGCACGTGATCGAACTTGGCCCTATGTAACACGATTTTGCACTTCTTGGCGGCCTTATTAAAAGCTTTCTTCAAATTCCGAATGCTCGGAGCTTTGTGTAGTCGAGCATCTGCCCAAGCTTGGTACGCGGACTGTTTATGTGCTTCAGCACAACTTATTACGTGCTTATTTATTTGAAATAAATGTTTATTATGTATTTAGGTATCGCGTTAATTCGGGCATGTATGGTTCTGAAACTTAGACAGTGAATGGACTTATAATTTAAAAACACGACCAACATTCCATAATTTCAGAATGTGTATATAAAATAAAACTTCTTCTGTAGTTTTAGAACTGAATCCTGTTCCGTGCAAAATATCAACGACGAAAGTATTGTTATCTCTCGTGCTGGTATCTTATTCGCTTCTTATTACATCCGGGCTGATTAACTAGTTAGTAGCATTGCATTGCGCATTGTGACCGTACACTGTAATAGAGATATAACACCGTCGCGTCAATGGATGATTACCTTGATGACGTCATTTCAATTACGGCTTCCGGAGATCGCGTGACATACTTAATTTTGATTAACCGCGCCGTTGAGAAGAAGCCCTTGTTTAATTTGTCTCATTCAAGTCACGTCAAGTCACGTTACTAGATAGTAAAGGGTAACTCAGGAACATTATTGTTAATTACTGTATATTTTGTACTATAAAAATAGTTTTTTTTCTTTTAATATAAATTCTGATATTTGATCTGAAATTCTCTATACTTGCACAATATTGTTCCTAGTTGCTTATTTGGTTAAATGAATTAGGAGCAGCAGGTAAAACCATAAATTTAGTCGTCAATGGTGAGGAATGCAGTTAATGGAGTAAATGTAGTAATTGAGTATTCACAATGTTTGTTTTTCTTTGGCAGCCCTTTCCCTCCCTCGGAGATGAATCGGGGCGGTCGCGTAGAACCGACGCCGCCGGAGTGCGCGCTGGCGGCGGAGATGTTCGACCACTTCTGCTCAGCTGGCACCATGAAGCAGATATTGGCGCTGCACCGCGAGATATGCAACACACTGAACTTGAAGCCCAATAGACTGCCAGACTTCTACCCTAAACTCAAGGTAAAGGCTTTTGTGTGAAACCAGCCCCAACTGCAATGTTAATCTTAGTTAAAACTTAAACCAGGCTGCACGTATGTAACTCCCTGCTGCGCTTTTACCTCGTGCGGCGAATTTCTGCAAAAACAGTACTCATAATCCTTTAATGTTAGAAAATATTGTTGAAGACATTTAATATAATGAATTCACAATAGCGAGTGTAAGGATTTTTTGCCTATCTTTGCGATTTAAAAGTTACACTGCCGATTCGCTGTATACATCGCATCATCGATCGGAACCTCGTAATTATGTATCAGTCCACACTATATGTAAACTGCTCTCTATTGGGGGTCTACTCGCGTTCTCAATCCAAAACAATTACTTTCAAATAAGTAATACTCGACGAAATCAAAACACGCTTGCGAATAAACGTTCATACTTGACATTGTTTTTTTGTTTGGTCGAGTAGTACTTATTTGACAGTAATTGCTTCGGACGAATGACGGACGGAGAATGGTAGTACACCCCCAGAGCCCGATTTTTATCTGCACTTGTCCAGTCTCTACCTACAATTCTACGAAGATCGTCATGCCACAACGTCGAGGCTTTCCAAACTATATACTTGCGTAAGCGCAGCCTTTATTAAACATCGTCTCTGCAACAGATACGACCAGACCATTACCCGTCTAATTGTCCATAATGTTCTTAAAGTAATAAAAACGCCAACTGAGTCGTAAATTGCCGAGTTCAGATGTGGTTCCACAACAAAACAGGTGGTAAGCTGCAATCTGTGAATGTGCGCTTTGGCTCGATGCCATAGCCACGTTGCTGTATCGTGCCGTGACTGCGCACTTATACCGTTGATTTATCGACGAAATTTCGTATAGTGTAGAGTAAAATAGTCCAAAATTATCATATTGACGACGGTATTGCAATCCGCTTTATTACGAGTAGAAGTTAAAAACTGAAGCGATAACAGGTACTACTGTTACTACTCTGTACATAGGAAAAAGTTACCTTAAATATTAACCAAGCCCTAGCCCTTGTAAGCATGACATCAAACGGTAATTAACAGGGAGTGTTCATACAAAGCGCCTAACAATACAGTTTACCACTCCTATTTGTACCGTATCTCTCAAGACATCTAACAACCCTAAAGTAGCATTGCCAAGAATGTTGCTCAACTTGTACGGATGCCTGTACCACTATGACTCAGAACAAGTTTTATAAAAATACTTTTGTGATCTCGTAAACAGTGACTAAGGGACTCGACGTCGTATCGATTCCAATCTTAGTTCATTGATGCATTTGCAACGTACAAATCATACATAAAGAAGCAAGTATATAGCTGCACTCTGTAATTACATACGCTTGTGAAAATGCATATGGTTCTTGTATAGGAATGTACATGACTGGTCATTGTTTTTTGAGTATTGTGTATAGTGATTAATAAGATTTATTGTAGCACTTATCAAATTAATGTAATTTTTATTTATCTAAAATGTAAGGCGTGAGTGATAATAGGCCCATGGTAATAGATGACAATTTTCGAAGGTTTCAAGTGCAGGTTTGACAAAGTAACATCACAACATTTCATTATTCATCCGATTTAAGAGCCAGGCTCTTGTCGTTGTAATTGTCTCTAGTCTACTCCACTCACGGTTCATAGCCAATTCTTCGACCTTTTTATAGCTGCTCATTTTGATCTTTCTCTTGATCTGTTTACTATACGCTATTCTTGGTCTTCTATCTTCGCAATTATCATTCTCAAGAACATTTATATGGTCAATAATGTTTTATTGTCTTAATAAGTAAAAGTAAGCACTTTTGTAACAAAACTCAAAACCGAGATAATGTTTAAAGAAATGAAACTAAAAAAATATCTCTCTCTTACGGTACTCTATACCTTATCCTTCTTCTTCTTTTTGCTTAATGGTGCTACCCTTTAGATTTCACCAGTATCGAGTTTTCCACTTTTCTGCAGACTGCTTTTTAGTGAGCATTGTGAGAGCATAATGTGATATAAAAAATACTTTCTTATTAAATTTTAAAGCTGCAGAGCTGTTGAATTACCTGAAAGGGACAGAAAACAAAATATATAGACAAATGTTAGTAGGTATATTAGGCAGGACAAATTATAACCATGTGATGTGGCTGGTTATGTATGTATCCAGCATCATCAATTTTCTTTGTGTTTATTCACAAAGGACATTGATGCAAGACGTATCCACAAGACTGAGGGTCGTATTCTAGAACTCTACTCAATGCTCAAGTCAGGATTGCACTGGAAATACGACTCTAATGGCAGGGACTTGAGTATGATTTCGAGTGCTTTAAACCATACTAAAATCCTGACTTGAGCATTGAGTAGAGTTCTAGAATACGACCCTTAAAATCGTATTAAAATCTGTGGGTTTGGGTTTGGGAGTGGATGAGGCGAGGATGTCGTACAAAGAGACGGGGTACTTGTACAATAACAAAAATGTGATGGGAAAGGATGTGAGTTCCTTGTATAGCTTATCCACCCGGGAAAAAAGGAAAATAGTGACAGATCGGCATTTGTTTTAGGATCACGCAGTATACTCAACAAATTTTTTGACAAAATGTCACATGCATGTCAATTTCAACTAACGCCACCATAATGGAAAGTTATGTATAAAATTTTTAAAATCCTATTTTAAGTATCATTATCAACCCATTTTATAATTGGTCCCACTGCTGGACACAGGTCTCCTCTTAAGCGAGGGTTTGAGTATAAAATTGCACAACGTTGTGAGTCTATGTAATCGTTGAAATAGTTTCGAAAAACAATGGCTTTAAATGAGTATGTTCCATACCGAGTATGTCTTTGATAGTATAAGCACTTGCGAGCGTTAAATATGTAAGTTGTCGCATATTTGCATAATTGTACCTGCTTTCCTATGTACTCGCTGTTTCTTCATTTCCGTTCATACACCGGTTTATGTATAATTTTATCTATTGACTGCAGTTTCACTCATAGAAATTGAGAGAGAGGTTTATTCCTAGTAAATATTTGCGAAAGCAAATAATCTCACAAAAGATTATTTATTTAACAGTATTCTTAAATATAGCTTTAAAATCATCAGCAGCACAACAGCTTATCTTTCGTTGGTAGAAGTTTAATTGGAAAAGCACTTGTGTAAGATTGGGTGCCTACTTGTTTGTTATTAGCACAAATCCTTGCAATATTTCCCCTTTTGTTTTCATTGAATTATATGTATTAAATCTGCTGTAAAGGGGTCTCTTCCATATTCAAATTATATATTCTTAATATTGGCAACTTTGTATTAGCCAAGACGCAAAAAATATTTTCGTCCTTCGGACGTTTTGAATGATTATCAATCAAACTAAAAGTAATCTGTCGTCCTTCATCAAGACTGGCTTGTCGCTAATATTATAATTAGTCATATGTTATCATAAGCCTATCAGCGTTTACGTAACGCTTCATACGATAATTAATTTTGCCAGTGAAAGTGATCCATAATGCGCTCTATGCGATCGTGAAGTATTAGGTATGAACCGTTATTACTCAACCTACAACGTTTAAAATGAATATCTGTAACATAAGTCTAATCAGAGATAATAATTTTAACGTTATAACCTAATCGTTTTGGTAATTTTATTAACCGACTACAAGAAAGTAGGAGGTTCTCAATTCGACTATTTTTTTGTATGTATGTTACGCGCTAACTGTATAACCAATAACTAATTTGTGAATCGATTCTGCTGATTCCTTTTTTGTTAGAAAGAGGGTACCTCAGTATCGGTCCACTAAACAGAAAATATTCCACCTGTAAGGGTGGCAAACTAAAAACTTGGATATCCGGTTTCGCGCACTTATTCAGTAACCAATTTCAATAAAACTTGGCAAATAGATATAATCCCACGAACTTTTGAGGTCGGTTTTTATTTTATAAAAAAGTTATAATTATAATAATCCTATATTGGTTACGATCAAATATGATCATGTGAAATATTATATGTTAAAATTGCTTGTGTTACGAATTACGATCAGTTCAGATTTTTTGCTGTAAGAGTATTGGCAATATTTAAAAAGACTTTGCAAATAGAAGTTTTTTTTTACACTCAAGACGCATTAGCCAATAAGATGGATGTCCTAATATGCTCTCTTTTGGTAGAGGCCTGTGTCCACCAGTGGGATACAATAAGGGTTGATAATGTACAGTAATATAATGCTGTCGTACTTTCTCCGTAGTGTAATGTTGGCGGTAGGTAAGAATTAGAACTCTTTACCAACATGGGCCAGGAAAGTATATTTGAAAATGCACTTCAGTTCGCTGTTCTAAAACTTTTAGATCCCGCTTGAAACTATGAATTATGTCTACAGACTAAACAAAATCTGACATACTGTCAACAACCCACTAGCATCAAGTCTCCGCAATTACGAGAAAATATAATAATCTCAGTACAGAATACTAAAAAACCGACCTCAAAAGTACGTGGAATTACGTCTACTTGCCAAGTTTTATTGAAATATAACCACTATACAGGATTTGTCACAGGAGATAATAAAAATCGGTTCTCTCTACTCAGAGTATATTGAGAGAGAAAAACGCCTTGAATCGGAGAATAGCAAAATCAACCGTTAAAATAATTGCTCCTTATAATATAATGTAGGCGCTATTTATAAAAATGAATATTCATCTCAATGGGACCACTATGGAGGTACCCTCTTTCCAACAAAAAAAGAATCATGAAAATCGGTTCACAAATATCGCGTAACAAACATACAAAAAAATACAGTCGAATTGAGAACCTCCTCCTTTTTTTGGAGTCGGTTAAAAATTGAGCAGTTGTTTATGTATGTAATATTTTTCGTATATTCATACTATTTTTTTATTAATATCATC